CGCACCTACACACCTACACACCTACACACCTACACACCAACACACCCACACACCAACACACCAACACACCTACACACCTACACACCTACACACCAACACACCAAACACACCTACACACCTACACACCTACACACCTACACACCAACACACCAACACACCAACACACCAACACACCTACACACCAACACACCTACACACCAACACACCAACACACCCACACACCCGCAGGTCTGCCCCCCGTCCTCCGCGACCTCAGCTTCTCCCTCCCCCCGGGCACCTCCTGCGGTGTGGTGGGTCGCACCGGCAGCGGCAAGAGCAGCCTCATGCTGACGCTGTTTCGCCTCATTGACGTCGTCGGCGGCCGCATTCTGCTGGACGGCTGCGACACGGCGACTCTGGGGCTGGACGCGCTGCGGCGGCAGCTGGCCATCATACCGCAAGACCCGGTGTTGTTCAGCGGCACGTTGCGGCGCAACCTGGACCCTTGGCGGGCGTACGACGATAAGGCCCTTTGGGAGGTGCTGGGCGCAGTCCAGCTTGCGGAGAGCGTGGCGGCGATGCCGGGGGGGCTTGATGCGGCCATGGCGGAGTGTGGGGGCAATTTGTCGGTTGGGCAGCGGCAGCTGTTCTGCTTGGCGCGGGCCCTGCTGCAGGACGCCAAGGTTGGTGCGTGTGTGTGTGTGTTTTATTGGGGGGTTTGGGGAGGAAGGGGGGAAAGGGGGGGAAAAGGGGGGAAAGGGGGGAAGGGAGGAGGAAGGGAGGGTGGTCCCATTCATTGGGCTGTGTGAACCTTTCTTCCCCCAGCATCCCCCGATGCCTTTCCCCTCATCTCCCCCTTTTCTCTTCCTCCTTATCACCCCCTCACATACTTGCATACATACTTAATACATACTTCCTTGCATACTTCCTTACATACATACATACTTCCTTACATACATATCAACCTCTCAGGTATTGGCTCTGGACGAGGCGACGGCCAATGTAGATCGGGCTACTGATCAACTCATCCAGGTACGGTCTTGTGTGTGTGTGTGTGTGTGTCCAATGACCTGGGCCAGGTACGTGTACACATGAGTGTATGTATGTATGTATGTATGTATGTATGTATGTATGTATGTATGTATGTATGTATGTATGTATGTATGTATGTATGTATGTATGTATGTATGTATGTATGTATGTATGTATGTATGTATGTATGTATGTATGTATGCTGCTGCTGGAGTGCGAGGTCCTGGCGGCAGTGTGGCGCGAAAGGAAGTTGGCTTCTCTTCTCATCCGATGTCATCATCACAATTGTTGTTGTTGCGCCATCGATGTCTCACCGCCATTTATTGATCCACAATCCCGTTGACGTCTCTTTCTTCCCCCTTGCCTTTTCCACCCCTGCCTTTTCCACCCCTGCCTTTCCCACCCCTGCCTTTTCCACCCCTTGCCTTTTCCACCCCTGCCTTTTCCACCCCTGCCTTTTCCACCCCTGCCTTTTCCACCCCTTGCCTTTTCCACCCCTGCCTTTCCCACCCCTGCCTTTCCCACCCCTGCCTTTTCCACCCCTGCCTTTTCCACCCCTGCCTTTTCCACCCCTTGCCTTTTCCACCCCTGCCTTTCCCACCCCTGCCTTTCCCACGCCTGCCTTTTCCACCCCTTGCCTTTTCCACCCCTTGCCTTTCCCACCCTTGCCTTTCCCACCCCTGCCTTTTCCACCCCTTGCCTTTCCCACCCCTGCCTTTTCCACCCCTTGCCTTTCCCACCCCTTACTTGACTTGACTTGACCTTCTGGGGTCTGTGGGTCACATTACCGCTATTGCGCTGCTCGGACGTTAAACCTCTAACATTATTCACGTTGTTGTTGCTGTTGTTGTTGGTTGTGGTTGTGGTGGTGGTGGTGGTGTGCTGCAGGGGGCCTTACGTGACTTTGCCCACCGGGACCGTGAGTCGCACGGCCGGGTGCTGCTGGTGATCGCCCACCGCGTCGACACCATCCTGGACACCGACCACCTGTTGGTGCTGTCCGGGGGGCAGCTGGTGGAGAGCGGCGACCCGCGGAGGCTGGCGGAGGGAGACGGTGTGTTTGCAAAGATGGTCGCGGCGGCGAAACTTGCTACAGGAGCAGGAGCAGGAGTGGGGACCAAGAAGATGATAAAGACGGCAACCGAATGAATATATAAGTGTGTGTGTGTGTTATTTTTAGTGAAGTGCTGCTCCAAACGAATGCAAAGTGAGGCGGCGGCCGCGCGGCCGCGCCGCGTGTGAGTTAATGCGGCGCGGCTTGGACACTGCCCGAGGGTCGACACCTAGGAAGGAGAAGGGAAGGAGAAGGAGAAGGGGAAGACCTAGAGCAATTGGAGGTGACCTGAACGTGCTGTTGTGACGTGTGTGCATAGTTGTCCCGTTGACGTCACCGCATTCCACCCGGGTAAGGGGCCCGGAGTTGGTGTTATGGTCGGGGCTGTGGTTGGTGTTGTGGTTGGGTCGGGGTTGGGGTTGGGGTTTTAAGATCAGCGGGAGCGGTAGATGGAGTTTTTTAATCTTGTGAGGTTGGCGAGTGAGGTTGGCGAGTGAGGTTGGCGAGAGTTCCCCATGTACCTGTTCTTTGACCTCGACTGTGCGAGTAGCGGAAGACGTTTGCTGCGACCAAACCACTGCGCGGGGAAGGGCCACCCGGGGCACGAAAAACTGGCTCCTGCTCTGGCACCAGCACTGGCTCAGGCACTAGCACTGGCTGGGGCAAACGATTGGGACGGATGGCGAATGTACCGCGCAGGACACGCAAACGTACGGCGCAGGGCAATTTTACTGTACGTAGGATGTCCGAGGGGTGAGAGAGAGGAAAAAGGTGTGTGTGTGTACGTTCGCAGGTATGGCAGCGTATAAATACTTGCAGAAGTTTTGCAAAAGTAATATCCTTTGGGTGTGATGTTATTACTGAAAGTGTGACTTTTTGACAAACTACTTTTGGAGGCAATTACTGCGGCGAGGTTCTAATCCGCTGCGCTTTTTATACCTTTGGAATTGATGGTTTTACCCCCTTCCCATTTTGCGAACGTTGTGCCGTATCGTGTTGGCTAAAGGATAGTATTAGTAGAGGCGTTCATTCTTAGTGTGCGAGAGAGAGAAGACCTGCTCAAGAGGAAGAGGCGAGGGGACCCTTGGGGGTTTACCAGTTGTTAGGTTCATAGGATGTTTTATCATCACCATCATCATCATCATTGTCATCATCATTACCGGATTTTTCCTTCTTGGACACGTCGGGTTTCATTCATTGAGGGGGTTATTCACGAGGGCGGAGCCAGCCATCTGATGCGCTGTTGGTGTATTTGGGGGAGCCCACCCTTGTGTTTTTTTGTTCATTTTTTGTCCATTTCCCCCCCTGGCGGCGGCAGCGGCGGGCCCCCAGCAGCCAGCTGCCAGCCGCCCCCTGCTTTCCCTTGCAGCAGCTTCACTCGTTCGTGGTTCGTCGCTTTCCGCGCTATCCCCGGCCCCGAAGGAGCGTTTCAGGATGGGAGTGGAAGTGAGGGGAGTATGAAGGTGCGGGTGTGACAGTGCAGGTGTGAGATGGCGGCGCGGGAGTTCTCGAAGGGTGTGGGCGAGGGAGGGCTGACGAGATCGTTTGGGAGGTGAGGGGGCTATGGACAGGGCCTATGAGCTGAAACCCTAGAGCTGGAATTGCCACCAATGCCACCACGTCCAATCCGCTGGGGGGGGGGAGGCAGGGGAGGCACACCACGTATGAGGGGCCGCCATGTCAATCTTTCCACAGTTCGTGTCGTCATATCACCGCCCCGTTGTTGTTTCCCCAGGGGGGATGCCATCAAGCGCCTCGAAACACAGTATGTAACATGTATGTATGTCTGTAAACTCCGCGTGCACGGCACGCGGTGCTTCAGGGACCATAAAGGGACAAGGGACAGAAGCAAAAGCCCGCGGCGGGGCGAGTTGTAAAGTTGTAAAACCAATACCTAAGTCCGCATGCAAACGAACCCACCAAGCTATGTACCTGTTTTTTGTTGTTCCTGGCGGGAGTGGGGCCCCCACCGTAGGGCCCAGCTGATGCTGTGTTGCCGCTGCGTTGCTTCCAAGTAGTTTTATGCTGGTCTAGAGTGTGTTGAGAGGTCCCTCCTAATCTCTAGGAAAGAGTTCTGCAAGTTGGTGAAGGGGGTGTGCATATGTGGCTATCTTCAGGGTGAGACCGAATGTCGTCGTTTTGTGGCATGTCTTCCCTAGCTCTGAGAGCTGAGCTAGCGTTGCTGGCGCCTGCATCCGGTATAAAGATCTTGCAAGCTTGTGTACGATATGGACCTGGCGGTGTTGCAAGCAAAGGAAGTGCTCTCCGCCCGGTTGCGGGTGCGGCGGCCGCGGCGGCGGTTCTGGACTACTGGAATTGCTGGTGAATGATGATGTGCTGGGCGTGGACTAGGGTGGTATTATTTCTGACCGGGCCCTGGGGGCTATTGCCTGTGGGTTCAGCCCCACAGCCCCACAAGGATCGCGGGTTAATCCTTCACTGCTCTTGCTTTGTGAATTGTCGATGCAAGCATTGTGCGTTGGAGCGTCCGTGGCGCCCGTGACAGATGTCCGTGGTGGATCTGATCCTTGTGCATGAAAGAAGTACCCCAACCTCGTTACGCCCTGCTCGCATAAGGGAAATCGAATTGCGCGGTTGCGATGGGCTTGCGGCCGATCAGCAGCTTAGTTTTAGAGCATATATAGTAGTGCATATGGGGTGGGTTTATTGTTGTTGTTATTGTTTAGTGTAAGTCAGTCGCGCAGACCATACGCAGGATCACGCCCAGCGCTAGGACAGGGGATAGTTCAGACCGATCTGGGATTGAATTCACAGCAGGAATGTCCATGACTGTACGAAAAGTTCCTTCGCCTGCTTCTGCACGCTGCAAACAAAACTTGGCCTGTGCCCAAATGTGCTGCAGGTAAACTTGGCTTTCTGGGCTGTCTTTAAAAGTTTTGGAGCTTTACTCGAGGATGCTCTCCCAAGGAAAACATTATCCTCGTTTATGTTTTCAAATTTCTTCGTACATGCTTCAAAATTGTTACGTCTCTTAAGCTAGTGGTAATGTGGATGTGGACTTGTTTGTTCTTTATCTGTCAGTTGGCTTTGAGGCCTTGTCACCACTTGCTTTGAACCGCGTAGTCTAAGAGATGCAGTTAGGAGAGCTTTTAAAGCGCTTGAGGTCTAAAAAGTGCTTTCGTGCACTGTGCACGCCACAGCTCTCCTAAAATGCAGTACGACTCAGTCCGGTACTCGCCATGCGAGAGCTGACGGGGACTCATTCGGCATGACTGCAAGACCATCTAATCAAGCAGCGTATTCATGAAAAAAATGCGAAGATGTGCACAGCGTAGGGCCGCAACCTCACGTTGAAGTTTTAACGCGGTTTAGAAAGAACAGGCACTTTCCTAAGTTCGGAAGTTTATGTAAGGCTTGTCGGTTCAACATTTTGACCTCCATACGTCGCTTCATGATGACGACAAACCCATGCCCTCAATCCTTCCGCCGCGAGGTTAACTCCCGCTGCCGATGGCAACTTCCACCCAGCAGGCTGATGCCGCTCCAGCTGCCTCTGTTCCTCCTGCTGCTGCTGCTCTCCTCACGACTTCCGGAAACCCGAGCGCAACGGCCCTACCCGCTGACGGGCGCCGACGGGCCCCTGCCAACTAACATCACAAACGGCACCATCCCGCACTCCGACATCAGCGCCACGGTTCTGTTAGAACGCGTCGTCACAATGCACGAGGGCGAGAATTCCTACGAGGCAAGCAGGGAAAAAAACTGGGGATAACGTTTCCGGGTGGCTTCCTTAGTTCACAGTGACCCGTGGGTCGGTATTCCGCTCTTCCCTTTCCAACCTCTCACGTCTCACGTCTCACGTTAACTCTCTACCAAATATAACTTATAAGAATTAAAATTTGATACCTTACTGTCTATTGTATCTGTATGCTGTAAGGAAGCCGCGGAAAAATAGTATGGACCAATCTCCACAAAAATTCTGCGTTCAGGTGCCTCACTGCAGCTGATCACTGTGCAGGAAGCTCTCCGAAAAGATGATTCGTGCTACAGCTTATATGAAAAATACTGTAGGGGAGGTTTTCCAACATAAGGTAGCTAGCCAGCCAGCCAGCCAGCCAGCCAGCCAGCCAGCCAGCCAGCCAGCCAGCCATTTATGACCCTCAGCTCGATGCCCGTCACCACACCACGTGAAGCAGTCAGTGCACGTCAACTTTGCTGCGTATTGGAGGAATTCCCAATCCGTATACATGGGCAGCAATGTGTTGTATTCAATGGATGAAACCCTTTCTTTTTTCCTCGGTTTTTCTTCGGTAGTGGTGGATAGATAGCATTGGCGGACCCCCCGGTCATTCAACACCGTGCCCCTCCACTGCACTATGCTGTCTAGCCCGGGCCGGGCCGTGGTTTGGCGGTATGATGCTTTCCCACACTATGCTATCTGCAGTGGGAAACCGTTGTAGATAGACATCGAAAACGAAAATGGCACGTTGGGCTCCCCTGTGCCATCTCCCCGTGCGCACCTCTCAGGCGGTTTGGTGGCTGGTGCTGACGTGGACGGATTTCAACGCGGGGAGGGTCGTACAGGCGTCCACAGCCGCCACTGAAGGCGTAGCTGCCACGTCATCCTCCACGAACTGCTCCCGCTACTGCGACAGCGGCGGCCTGGCTTCCATGGGCTGCTGCGACGGCATCTGGCTGCCGCACATCGAACTGCTCAACATCCTGCAGTATTTTGACGTGAGTGATTACTGACGGGCTTGCTCCGGAACCATTATGTAACCACCACCTCAACGGTCACAACAATGCCGACCAAAGGTGAAACCATCGTCAACGTCACACCACTCGCTCTTGTTTTATACTCCATGCACGTACTTTTGCTGAGCCACACACCCCCCCTCGCAACGCGCATCCAATGCTCCCCTTTGTCACGTTGAACCGCTTCCTGTCCTATAGTTCTCCTAGGAATAATATATTTTACTGTCGTATTGTAGTACGATTTTCCGTGGACTCCTACGACCCTATCCCTACACCCCATGGACCGGATACACCTCCGCCCAGGACCAGCTCCCTCGCTATCGCATCAATGCAAACCCCAGCACGGGAATCGTCACCTGGTCGACTCGTCTCGTGGGAAAATGGTGCGTGTGTGCATGTATGTATGTGTGTGCGCGACCTCCCTCGCTCCCTTTCTTTTGCTCGAACATCCCATCCTCGCCCTCCTCCCTTCTCTAAGTATATTTAAGTAGAT